TGCAGTGTTCATCTCGGAATGTGTTTTTCTTGAGGTAAACTTGCATATCCTGAGCCATTTTGTTCATGGAGCTGAACATTACAGAAGCAGCCTTATGAGAAAACAACAATGAACAGCACCATTTAAGCAAATGGTTAATTTTATCTTTGTTTTGCCAAGTCACAATTCATTGTCTGTCCTGATGGTGCAAAACTAATTGTCTCTTATCACAGTTACATTACCTCCAAAGGCAAATAAAATTAATGCAAAGTAAATATCACCATGATCAGAGACTGACTGATTAAAAGGGAAATAAACTTGTATGAAGCTGATGCTGAAACCCACAACAGGATCTCAGAATTATAAATCACTGAGTTCTCCAGGTTATGAGCTACTGTTCCAGTTTGTTATTTTGCGTTCTTTCCTTTAACCTTGGGTGGCCGTTAATGCATTGCTCTGCAGTGATTAATATGACTGATGAAAATAAACTATGGCAGAACAGTGTTGTAGTGCATTGCTGTATCGTGTTACTTGTTTACAGCTTTTAAGAAATGTGTTTGTTCGTACAGATAAATCAAACCCTTCTAAGCTCTGTTCTGTATCTGAAACTATCATGTCTCACTATGGAACTTCCGAGAGGAGTCCCTCACTTTCAAGGAATTATACTCTGAATTGCAAAATGTCCAGCCTTTCTTTTTTATTTCTTCTCTTTAGTATTCAATCCCTTTAGCATTTGCCGTGTTTGCAGGAAGGTCCTGTTTGAGTGTGGGAGTTATTTTAATTCTTTCTTCACAGTTCACACTTTAAGAAATCTATACACTAAATTTCTTCTAGGAAATCTAAAATAACTTTATCAACAGTCAATTGCTATTGAGTCAGAATGAATCAAGGAGTATAAGACATGACTATTGAGGGGTCAGGATCATCACCTGCCATTTTAAGTTTAAAAAATGAAAATGTCTGACTTTATTTAATCCCAGTCTTCAAAAGAGTGCAGAAACATTTCTAGGAAAACAGACGTTTCAACCCAAGGAAAATTTTATATTTAGTCAAAAGTTGCAATTAGTTTTATGTAAAGCAAGTACAATTCTAGAAAATGTGAAAGGTTATATATACATGGGTTTTGAAGACTTGACAGTAAGTCAAGTACAGGATAATTGATTTTTGGTGAATATGATTCTTAATTGAATGGTATGGCTTAGTCTCTTATGGGGAAAAATGTCTGAGAGTTGTTAAAACACACAAAAGCACAAAAAAGTTCAGAAATTGTGTTCTACAAGCTCATACATTGACACCAACTAGACAAATATGTAGAAGACTATTGTAAAGAAAAAAAATAACTATTTCCCATGTGCATTGGTGGTTGGACAATTCTGGAGGTTAAATTGTGAGAGAGAGTACTCACACGAACGTATACATCCCTGGAGGGCATGGGAAACAGGAGCTTCTCTTCAAATTATTCTTGGACAAGACAAAGCCTATCTCTTCTCAGCAAAAAATACAGTAGAGAGGACAGGGTTAATTAGGTGTATCTATAATAAATATTTAATATATGGCATATTAAATACCTCAAAGAGAATGTGTTAGGACATTGATGTGGGAGTCTGAGTGAATCCAAAACACCAGGCAAAATGGGAATTGCGAGCCTCCATTCTCTATCTGAACATATGAAGCAACAGCAAAAGACAGAATCTAGAGGATGGAGTTACTTGGGGAATGCAGTGAAATATCTGTATGCAACTTTCTGAAGGAACAGTTTATGATTGTAGGCAATGTTCTGTTTATTTCACAAGCACTTTTTCATTTCCAGTCCTTCAAATGGCAATCTGTGTCTCTTAGTATGTATTTATATATATATAAAAAAAAAGTAGGTTTTTTTTTTTTTTTTTTTTTTACCAACAGCTTTGTCTATTTTCATATAATGTGGTAGGTGGGTTATTTTGCCACAAGTAAACTGTCTCATCAAAGGCATAAATGGGGTGCAGGCAACCTGGAAGCAGCTAAATTGCAGGGGTTACCTTTCGTAAACTGAGGGTCTGGACAGCATTCACTCGTAGTTCCCAGAAGCTCATCATGGAGGCTATGTTGTCAGATACTAGCTTTGAGGGGTTTTTGCTAGGCCCAGGGAAGTGTTCCTCTTGAGTCACCAAACTGCCCTTCTGCAAAACAGCAGAAGAGAAAGTTTAAAATAGAGAAGTTCACTCTTATGGTGAGGATTACCAAGAACTAGAATAGATGTCCTTGGAGATAGTGTAATTGTTGTCTTTAGGGGTTTCTGAGAGCAACAGTAAAGAAAACCTCTATCAAGTATGACAAGACACGGCTGATGTATTTTTCTGACACATATTTTATTTTCTAAAATCTAACACCTGTAACATTTACAGAAAGGAAAATGCATTACATTTAATATTGTTGTCAAAACAATAGTTGAGGTGTCAAAATACTCACTTCCAGTTGATCGTATTTCGCACAAAAAACTAAGCATGTAATAAAGATGAACTGAATTCTTCTATCTGTTCTACTATTTTTCAATTAGTTTCACCTTAGGAAAACTGTAGAACAGAATTTAAAATTAATTTGTTGCCATTGGACTTGTATAGCCGTATTATTATGGTCACAGAATACCATCATCACTGTATATAAGATCAATAAGCAACCACGGCTGCATTCCCTGCAATTGAATGGGTAAAGAGAAGGTGAAACTTCTTTCAAACAGCAGGAGAGTCATCCTGTAACGAGGGAATTTATATGGAGCAAACATATTTAAGAAACATAGAATCATAGTTTGTGTTGGAAGGGACATTCAAAGGTCATCTAGTCCAGCCCCCCTGCACAGACATTTCAAATAAACTTGTTCTAGGTTAAATGCAATTTCTTACTTGTTAATGCATTATTGGCCCATTCTGAAATCTTACTGACATCCTTTTTATGTATTTACCAATCCTTCTGTTCTTCTGCAGCATGTTCTGAGGATTAAAGAACAAGTCTTTCTCTCCCTTTCCATCAAGATCAGCTTTTTACCTCACATGGAAAAGCTTTCTTACAAGAATGTTTAGCTGTGGCTTCTGGCAAGCACCAAACTAGAACTCTCCATAGGCCTCCTAACAGGTAGCTAATGCTGGGCCCTCTGTGCTGCTCTGGTGACCATTAGCCTGTTGGCTTAAAGTTAGCATCTTTGCATTATAGCAACACAAGAGAATGCTAAGCATCAGTAGTACAACAGTGTTTTGTTAAAAAGAACAGTTGGAGAAATCCTGAATTGACTCTTAGGTTTGAATGATCTTTATGTGCAAATTTATGAAGCAGGTTTCTCACATCAGATACATAAATAATGGTATTTGAGCATAAAGCCAATTTCTAGATGAGTAAAATGGCCTCTTTCTGTCTTAAAATGTATGACTACATCACCTGCTTTTCAGTCATGCAAGGAGAAAAAAGTTCACAATGTTGTTGTGATGAGGCCTGGTCAGCTGGTTATTTTTAGCTTGAGCTTGCACATTTAGCAAACTCTCACAAGAGGGAACATTTTTTACCTGCAGCTGATCAGCATTCAGAGCTGCATGATGCCATCCATTTAAGCATCAAACCAGCTATTTCAGTCTTATTTTTACAACCAAATACTTGTTCAGTACTGGGGAAAAGGTGCACTCATAAGAAATGGCATAATGTGTTTGACCTGCTGGTCACGCTCCTTTTGATGCAGCCCAGGATACAGTTGGCTTTCTGGGCTGCGAGCACACACTGAAGCCGGCTCGTGTTAATTTTCTCATTGACCATCACCCCCAAGTCCTTCTCCACAGGGCTGCTCTGAATCCCTGCCCAACCTGTATCTGTGCCTGGGATTGCTCCGACCCAGGTGTAGGACCTTGCACTTGGCATGGTTAAACTTCATAAGGTTGGCATCAGCCCACCTCACAAGCGTGTCAAGGTCCCTCTGGATGGCATTCCTTCCCTCCAGGGTATCAACCGAACCACACAGCTTGGTGTCATCGGCAAACTTGCTGAGGGTGCACTCAATCCCACTGTCCATGTCACTGACAAAGATGTTGAACAAGACTGGGCCCAACACCGATCCCTGAGGGACACCACTCGTTACTGGTCTCCAGCCGGACACTGAGCCATTGACCACAACTCTTTGTGTGCGGCCATCCAGCCAGTTCTGTATCCACTGAGTGGTCCATCCATCAAATTGATGTCTTTCCAATTTAGAGACAAGGATGCTGCGTGTGGGACAGTGTCAAATGCTTTGCACAAGTCCAGGTAGATGACATCAACTGCTCTACCCCTGTCCATCAGTTCTGTAACCCCATCATAGAAGGCCACCAAATTGGTCAGGTAGGATTTCTCCTTAGTGAAGCCGTGCTGGCTGTCACCAAGCACCTTGTTGATTTTCATGTGCCTTAGCATGCTTTCCAGGAGAATCTGCTCCAAGATTTTGCCAGGCACAGAGGTGAGACTGGTCTGTAATTCCCCAAGTCATCCATTTTCCCCTTCTTTAAAATGGGGGTTATATTTCCCTTTTTCTGGTAGTTGGGAACTTCACCTGACTGCTATGAGTTTTCAAATGTGAGGGACAGTGGCTTAGCAACTTCATTCGCCAGCTCCTTCAGGACCCACGGATGGATTTCCTCAGGTCCCATGGACTTCTGTAAGTTCAGGTTCTTAAGATGGTCTCGAACCAAATCCCCTTCTACAGTGGGCCTAAGGTCTTCACTGATTGCTTCTTAACCTGCCTGAGGAGGTTCACACCCCAAAAGGTTCATCTTTCTCCCTACCTAGATAGCCAGAAAGAGGTAACCCAGGGTAATGCCATGTTAACATCTGGAAAGGCTTGGAATTATGCTCTACAGTTTAATATTATTATATATCTTAACAGAGTCATGTGGGGAATGTTCTCAGAAGGATCCTCACAAAAAACCCTCCTTCTGCTTGCTGTTGTCTCCTGAATTCATTCCAACTTCAGGGTGAGATGCTGTCTGAATTAGTGGATATATATAAGGAATCATAAGAACAAAGAGAAGGACAACCCAATGCTTTGTTTAATTACTGCACTGCACAGGTGTTACAGTTGATTAGAAAGGTGAACTTCAGTCCAATATTTAAATTGTTCATTGTTTACCAGGAAAGAGCCAAACTCTCTTTCCTTCCCTTCAAAGGCAAGGCAGCCTACTGAGCTTTTGTAAAATATCTTTCTTTTTCTCTTTTAGTCCTTCTTGTAGATACTCCTTGATAATACTATGGTAAATTCATAGTTTTTCAAACCTCACATCAAAGGGATTCTGTCATTCACTTTGCGGTTGCTGAAGGTGCTGAGCAATGCATTTGTCAGAGACTTCTTGAGGTGCCAGTGTGCCATTTTCCATTCTCATTCTTTTTAAAGATTTCCTGAAATCTCCTGCCTCCTGTCCACTTCCCTCTCAAGATCTCCCTGCCCTTTTTCCTAGAATCCCAGTCCAGTATCCTTAATTTTTAACTCCTTGCCAAGGTTTCTGTATGTGTTCTAGGTGGTTCTTTCTTACCCTCATTCCCACAGAAAGTACTTCCATTCCCTACTTTTATGTTTGCATTTCTCTTTTCCGACTTCCCTCAAACATTTTTTTTTCTTTTTTTTTTTTTAGGTCATTCAGGATGCTGATGTTTAAAAACTGCACAGTACACATCAATAGGGAGATGATGAAACTACTATTTCTCTGGAAGGTGTTACTGGCTGGCTGGCAAAACCTGAGACATCCATCTGCCTTCAGTTACAAAGGCACTTGAAGCTGCTGGGTATCTGACCGCAATGTCAGATATCCACAGAATCCAAATTTTTCTATATTTCTATCATTTTCTCCTCCAGCTTCCATTGATCCCAGTAGCTGCTTAGGGGTTGAACTCAAAAGTTCTGTTACACTATATACAACAGAGGAATAAGAGCACATAGGTAGGAGACCAGCTTTGCTAAGTCAGCAAAATCATTGAAACTTGAGAACGTTAGAAAGTTCTTAACAGACAAGGGATACATAATCTGACACAGATGCCAAAACAACCCTCACCCAACCCCCTCATTGTTAGTTGCTCCAAGTAACTAAGTCTGATTTTTGGGGAGATGTTAGCTTTAAATCTAAACAGAATAGTAGTACTTGTAATTCTGTATGCCCAGATATCCCCTTTATGTACTTGGTGCTTCTTAAAATAAGTTTAACAATACTCCTTACAAAAAGTATGCCCTAACATGTAAAAGCTGATAGATGTATGAATTAATTCTGATGTCTTATTGAAGGTTATGCAACATTCATGGACGTTGGTCTGTCCTCTTCCATTATATTTAAGGAAACGTATGTGACTAATAATAGTTACTATTTTTTTTGAGATTCTTCTTTCTATTTTCTAAATTGAACCAAACCAACTGTTTGGTGAGTGTCAGATTATTATTTTTGTGACTTGTTGTTTGGACTGAAACTGGGCTTTGGACTGACTGTACAGTGTGGCATTCTTATCTGACATCCAGGTTTGTAGCGTGGTGTTACTGTGAACACCCATTATGGATAATTGTCTGTGTGAGAAGGAATCAATAATGATTGTGATTTGAGTGTAAGCATCTTAACTGGCAGTTAAAGAATATACTGTATAAGAGTCTTGCAATTAGGAATGAACAGGTGGAGAAAGTTAGTTAATGTAAACTTGTGCTCTCACTTGTACAGCATATCTTTTCCTTTTGGCTTCCATGTCCATTTTGAAGTCAAACTCCAGTCAGAAGGAAATGTTTAGTGCATTTACTGACCCCCCTAGCCATCAGAGGAAAAGTTTACCATGTTCGTCCTGAAAAGCCCCATGTCAGCACAATTACAGACATGCCAGGTGCCAAACACTAGTGCCCCTGGCAAAGGCAGGCCAGGCAAAAACGAGTAGAACTGGATCTGGTAGCATCAGCTCTTCCTATGCATTCCTGCTTCTGTGTCCCTGCCTCATCTGTCATATGTGGGAAAAGTACCACTTTTAGCATCAATGCTCTCCAAAGTGCAGATTTTTTTTAAATTTTGTGAATATTCCTGTGAGTAAAATTCAATTGCTGGATGGGTTTTGGTAAATAAACACAGAACAACCATGAATGCTGCTCAAGCGAACTAAAGCAATACTGCTGGGAAGTGTTTGGTTTAGTAGTGGGGTGTTTTAATGCTCAGTACTTCAAGAAAGCAACTAAGACATAAACTCTTAGGCCTGGTAAGAGTTGGTGTACTTCTGAACCATCAGGGAAGTTAATTGATTACATATTAACTGCAGTCCCAAGTATACAGACTGTTAATGCCCAAGAGACATGTTTCATTTCCCTTATCCAAAGCATTCTTTCTGCTCTCACATGAACAGCTCCCATGTCCATGCTGCAGCGTTTATAGTTGCATTAGGATGACTATATGCACTGGACTAAAACTACATAACATTTATTCAGAGTGACAAAATGGCAATACCAGATACTCTTCCCCCCTTTTCACCTTGGTTCCTGTTGTGATATTCAGCAGAGCACCTATCAAAACCAGCTGGACAATCAAAAGGTTTTAGTGGCATCAGTATCTATCTTGACAAACATCCTTAAGGTATTTCTGTTAAATTGCTATTGGTTTCTTCAAGCTAATCATTCTTCTTTTAATCTGAAAAGTTCTGTCATTGGAAAAACACTGAAAAGAAAAAGGAACAGAAAAAGTTTCTTAAATCTTACTTGCAAACCCTAATGAGAAAAGAAAAAAATAGAAATCTGTCATCTCATTCAGAAGAAAGAAAAAAATGCTAGTTTTTTTTTTTAAGTGAAATAAATGCTTTCCCTAAACATGATCGCAGTTGACAAAATGCTGAATGTTTAGGTGGCAATTATAGCTCTTTCAGAGACTGTCAAATCTTGTCACAACACATGTTATAAATGAGGACAGATTTAGACATCCTTTCTGACAGTTATGTGTGGGATGTGGATGGTTGGCAGTTAAATTTCAAATGCAGGGAAATTTTCCTTCCAATAGATCTTTGCTTGTTTATTAAGAGGGAGTTACCGTGCACTGAATCTTGTATCTACCATGTGCAGCTTTTCTTCCGTACAGCATTTGACATTTCACTTTAACTTTCTTTGTGACAGCCATCTGAACACTGTTTTGGGTAAAAAGTAGCCTACGGTGCTCTGGAGATGTATGCAATTTTCAAAGCTCTTGATGTTTTCATAGTGAGATTAGAGCAGGAAATGTGTCATATTATACATAGATGGGTAGAGAGCAAGAAAGCAAATAACAGAAACTGCGACAATACTGATTGAAGGGAGCAGCTTCATAATGCACACAGAAAGTGGGATAATGCACTAGCCCACATTCATCACAAGACATATAAAATGTTGATGAAGTATTAGTAATAACAAAGTGGGTTGTAAAGCACAGTTCATGTGATGATAAACTACTCAGGTGTCACTAAAGGCTAAACCTCACATTGATTTCAAACTGTTTCTGATGTGGCCAAATGGCATGGGGAGAAGAGAGAAAAGAGGAATCATACTGCCATGAGCAAGAATCCTGTCTAGGTCAGACAGAACATTTTTGGAAGCTCTGGCAGCAAGCATGCTGAAACAGCCTTAATATCACTTTTGATGAGTGGAGCATAAGCCTGACTGCAGCAGCCTCAATCTGCTACCCAGCACAGTGACAAGCTTTGCATTCACCCTTTCTGCAAAGGTCAATGCAAAGGTGGGAAAGACAGCATCTCCCAGTTAGATTATGTCCAGCATACACTGCATTATATACAGTAGTGGAGAGAAGGGAGCTGTAGCTCCTTTAGTCCCTGCTCCAAGTTTTAATAATCCTTTCAAGCTCTTGGAAGTATCTCCTCCCGGAAGAAACTGGTAAGAGGAAAAAACAAAAATTGTTCAGCTATTTCATAGTCTACTTACACTTCCATATAGCATGTTACAGACTTTTATGAATGGTGGTGTATAAAATCCCAGTGAATTAGGTAAGTGTTATGCTAGCATTTCATGGAGCTTTTGAAGAAGGAATGTCATCTATGATATCAGGACCTTGCGACTTCTACTTAGCTATAGTAGCAGCCAAACATAACAGAATTATTTGCGTGCATACTGTTAAGCAGATATTTGAGTAGTTTGCTGGACCGGGATCAAAGTGCTCATTGCATTGGAGGACTGAACCCATAAACTGGAACACTGTGGGCAGCTATACGGTTTGCAGAGCTGAAGTTTTTGTACTTTCTATTTTTCTAAGAGTGACAGTGTTATGTAACTTGCATATAGATGTGTTCATTCCTAAGGATCAAAAAATATTCAGAAATATTTGTGACATTCTATCTCGAGTAGTACAGCTTAAGTCCTTGAATTCTGAATGGGTATCTCTTATGTTTCTGTCTGGACACAGACCATTCACTTCGCCCTGATGACATGCTTCCAAATAAATGCTTGCTATTTCACAAATGTGAAAATAAATTTACTGTTTCGATGCTCCAGGACATTGGCATTTATTGGCTCATTTGGGAAAACAACAAACTCACGTGGGTTATTTATACTCTATTTGAATACTGTTTGGAAAACAGGTACCAGCATCTCACATCTCAGTGCTCTTCATGAATAGGGCTATATATTCCCAGGCATCTTCCCTTCTATTCCCTTGTATAAAAAAATCTTAAGGGGTAGAAGATTACAGGAAATCTCAGGTATACGTAATTAATTTTCCCATAAATTACTAAAATGTAACATAGACTCATATATTGACAATTTTTTAATTATTTGCTCAGTTCCTTACTGAGCTTTCATGTCTCTTCTTGAATTTAGAGGTTGATTCACTATCTATGAATAAATTCTACCCAACAGCATTTCTCCTTCTCAATCATTTAACCAATAAACTTTGTTGGTAATGAAATATTACCAAATGTTTGTCTATTTGAGAAGTATTTTTATAAACATAAGGAAATGTCATACTTGTCTGTATGCATTCAGAATAAAAAAAAAAAGAATTAGCTACTTCAGAAATAATGTTATTAGTTTATTATGGGAGTACACTATCTAATTTACAACTTGAGGCAGTAATTCTGATTGTAATGGAGCCTATCAGAAAATTAGAGGCAACAACACTTTCAGCCCTTTTTAGTGTCTGAAAACTAAAATTATAATTGTCTGAGGTTTCCTCAGACTTATTCTCCTACCTGTATTCACACATTTCTAATTATGGGAATAAAAAGAGAGACATCCCCCTTAAGAATAAAATGAGCCACATATTCTCAGATAGTATTTGTAAGGGTACCGTTGACTGAACTTAAGAAAAATCAAAATGCAACAGCATATGCTGGGCTGCAGCAAAAGGAGTGTGTCCGGCAGCTTGAGGGAGGTGATTCTCCCTCTGTACTCTGCTCTTGGAAGACCTCACCTGCAGTACTGCATTTATCTCTTGGGCCCTCAACACAAGAGGCACGTACACCTGTTGGAGCAAGCCCAGAGAAGGTCACGAAGCTGTGAAAAACAGCTGGGAGAGTTGGGGTTGTTCAGCTAGGAGAAGAGCAGGCTCCAGGGAAACCTTAGAGCAGCTTCTAATGCTTAAAGGGGGCCTGCAAGGAATCTGGAGAGGGACTTTTTTAGAAGGGAATGTAGTGATAGGACAAGGGGCAATGGCTTTAAACTGACAAAGGGGAGATTTAGATTAGATATTAGGAAGAGATTCTTTCCTGTGAGGGTGGTGTGGCACTGCACAGGTTGCCCAGAAAAGCTGTGCCTGCCTCATCCCTGTAAGCGCTTAAGGCCAGACTGGATGGGGCTTTGAGCAACCTGGTCTCTTCAGGGTACAACACATTGCATGAAAGCTTTCAGAAACTGGGCATTTGTGCAGTAGATTGAGTATGTGTGACTTCTACAAAGTTATTCAGCTGCCTGCAAAAGAAAGGTAGGCCGATAAAGGTTAAACATGGCCTCTTGTCAGCAGTATTTCCTGAATTTGTTTGGCTGAGAGATAATAATTTTGGCAAAAGTTCAGAAAGAAAAGAATGAAACACAGTAGAGTACAGAAAAAAATTAAAGCGGAATATTTAAAATAGGCCAATTACTAATGGGATTTTTTGTCTGTAAAAGACACCCCCTGTTAATTCCCATTTCTGACTTTCCCCTGAAATCATTTTGGCCACTCTCAGAACTGTCAGGAGCCTATCAATGTCTCTGAATCGAATGCATGAGTGTTGTCAGTTTCCACTTCATTCTATAGTGTTAAAAAGCAAATCAGTGCAATTTTAGAAGGAGTATCCATTTGATAATCTTGGACACAATACAATGCCTGGATGGCATAAAGTTAATATATGAATATTAACTTTTAAAATCTGTAATTTATGTAAGACTAGACATGTCTCTGCTTGGTGGTAGTATGTAAATGAGATGGGCTATTTTTCTGTCAACTCCACTGATAAAAATTCCTCTGTAAGACTTCATGTAATAAAAAGAAACCTTGTAAAGAGTGAATAAAAGACAGCAGACACCTATGGTGGGATCTATCTCACCAAATTTTTGGCACCTACATTTGAATGAAGATAGAGTTGTTTTCTTGAGGTATTTCTCTCTATTGCCTGAGCAGGGAACTGAGGGTAATGCAGTCCACTAAGTTAGGGCAAATGAGTTTCATTTCTGGTGTGAAAGCAGGATGCCAATACAGATTGCTGTTTGTAGGATGCATCTGTTGGAGGATGCTGATACAGTGTGAAAAGAGAAAAAAAACGTTTTTGGTATTTATTGGAGAAGTAAAGGCTTGATGCTGCAGACACCGAGGCTCTGTGACTCCCATTGGCTTGGAGAAGTAGTGATGGTGCTTTGTACCTCACACTATTACAAGTTTAGCATGTTGCCTTCCTCCTGTGTGCTGAGTGCCTGCTGCAAGGTGCTGAGCAGCCTCAAACCTCATTAAAGTCGTTGGAGAGAGCCCTTAGCTATCTCAAGAGATGAAGCTGCACTATTTATACTCTAGGAACATATGTATACTGTACTATTAGTGCTAATATTTTTGTCAGAACACTTTTTTAAAGAAAAATGTGAGAACATTTGTGGGCAGTAATCACAAAACAGGGTTGACAGCTCCTTCCTTCTCTTACTCAGTCACAAACATTTTTCCTTTCAACAGATTATGAAATGTAAATGGAACTGGTCATCTTCAGAAACTAGTGTGATTTGGTTGATCATACGTGAATACCGAAAGGGAACTGACAAGGTTATAACCAAATAGAAACTGATACTAGCAGGGTGCCTGCGTCCCCGACTTGAATTAAAGAGGAGCTACACAGCCTGACCGTAGTACCTGTGAGCAGGGAGTGCATACTGCATTCATATACTTCTCCAAAGGGGACTAAGCCACTCTCTTCCATTGCCACCTGCCTAGCAGTTCTATGTCAATTTTTATTTCACCAATAGCCTTCCATAGTCACGGAAGTCAATCAATAATGAGGAATACATATTTAATGTTAATACCAAATGTTATTACAAAACTATCCTAGGTCTGTGTAATTACCTGTTTAAAAGTGGAGCAGCCATGACAATGGAACCTATTTTTAAGATAGATGAGACAACAGAAACATCTATAGCACATATCATCTATCCTAGCTGGAAAAGCCAAGACCAAATCAACAATAACCCTTCCTCAGGGCTGAGACCTGTGCAGGAAAAGCTCTCTTTCCACACACACCATGCTTCATACTCCCTGATACTAAGCCATGGGATCTCAGGCAAGAAAATCTACTGGATATTGAAATTTCAGAACAAGAAGTATGAAATTACAGGAAGGAATAATAATGTCACTAAATTGTTTTGTCGCCCAGAAAATGACTTGCTCAGATACTCACATAGAGCTGTTTGTTGCACTTGATCATCAATGAATCATCATCAGGCCCAAGCTGCCTGCATCAATCTTATCAACAGATAGTGTAGTAACTTGTGCACGTTCTCCATCTCTGTCATCTCTACAGAGCGTGGGATAAGAAAAAAAGATAAAGCAGAAAGCTCAAACATATCCTACCTGATGAATCACTGTAGTGAGGAAGATTTGTGTAATTACAAGCTCACTCATTCATTCAGAATAACATTACCTGCTAATGCAGTAATAAGTGCATGATAAAACCAGACAAAATCCACCTGAACAAGGTTTAATGACTCCTGGTCAAGTTTAATGACAAGGTGTTCCCCAGAGAGTTCCTCTTCTCAGCTTAAACATAGCTTGTTTTTAAAAGAGCAGCTCAGTTAGGAACTGCAGAAATTGACCTGTAATATTCTTTACCTTCTAACAATGATTATGAGCAACAAATAGAGATACAGCAAGTGCACAGGCCAGGCATTTTATTTTTGTAATTACTAAGTACTTTTACAAAGACTAATGCATCTGGAATTTTGTAAGCTAGATATATTTATGATCTGTGGGCAGTTCTCAATATAGTTATGATCTATCCTTGTATGGATAAAATCCATTTTCTATTCAGGGTAAGTGAAGGAATACTTTCATGCTTGCTAACTTAGTAATGGCAAAGAATAGAAACCACCTTCCACATTGTGGATCAGCATGACAAGGCTGAAAAAGGTGCTCCATCCTGTAAGCCAAGATTTGTACAATGAGGTTTGAATACAAATGCACTCCTTTGGTGGAACTGCACAGCGTGTGCCAGGAAGAAACAAGGACATCAGAAAATCAAGGAGACAGAAAGAAAACACCTGGAATATGTAAACATGGCACAGAGCAACAGAACTTGCTGCTTGGCCTGAGCAAGACTCTGGATAATACAGTCGCTGGAGTCTACTGTCAGATGACTTTGGGAAAGACACATGGTTCAGAATGAGCAAAGGACAAGGTCAGCGGTCAGAGCAGGATTAGGACACGTGAGAGGACACCTGGACCAGTATAATGTGACATACCAATGTCTTCAAAGCAATGTTGAGAAAATTTGGCACCTCAGCTGCAGAAAGAAATGGAAGAAAAGGATCCAGACTGCAACAGCCAAAGGTGTTTAGGATCAGGACAGAAAAGGATTCGGGATCAAGAGTGAAGGGCAATACAGGAAAACAAGAACAGGGCTCAGCTCCATCTCCAGTTAGTCCAAAGCCAATGGGAAATCTTTCAACAGACATCCAAGGCTTGGATCTCCTTTGTATGTGAGCGTTTGCCAGTTCTGCACAATTCACCACAGCATTATAGGCATTTAAAAACATTTGCTTTATGTGAGTGAAAGACCCAGTCTGGAGGCACAGTGCTGTGTCAGGGCAGTAGTGTGCAGGCTTGGCGTTATGTCTGGTCACTCATTTCAGAACTTACTGTGTTTGAGGAATCAAGAGATGTTTATATTCTCTGTATACAAGTAGGTCAGGACCAAAACCCACTTGACTCTATTACATTTCTGAGAAATACCCCACAAATTTCCAAATATTGGCTAACCACTGGAACTATAAAAAAGAGGTAATAACATGTTTAATTTTAACAACCTGAATAGTCCTATCGAATGTAGATATGTGAACACATTCCTGAAAGCCCAGGCACCGAAAAAGCTAATCGTACATTAATTATTTACAGTGTGAAGGAGATAGATTTTAATAACACATTTAAACATATCTAAAACTATTCTTTTTTTTTCAATGTTAGTACAAAAAAACCCTATTAACTTTAAAATGTTGGCATCTGTGTTGATTTATTTAGATTGCCTACTTCTGTAGCAGTTAAGTGGTTATTTACAAATCGTGTAAAACTGTCTGATCAGCTAAACCACTGATCTTTTTTCAGGTAAAAAGCAACTGCTTTCTGTAAACAAAATCAACAATTATGCCCAATTTGAAACATGTGAAATTATAATGTTAATGAGCCAATGAGCATGATACTAAAAGGCTACCAGTCTTACCCACAAGAAGACTTTAGTTAGTTCTCAGTCAAATTAACAGACATGGCAAGTAAGTTACACCCCTTCCTGAAACCTAATGTTGATGTTTTTCTTACAGAAGACAAATCTTAACATTTTAAAGGAGGAAGTTATGCAAACATTCTTAATAAAATGCAAATAATTGCTATGGCAGATACCCTTATAAGCATTAATACATCTATAAAGCATACATAGAGAATTGCACAACACTGGTTAAAGTGCTGTATTTTTTAGGTACATGGTGCATGGCTGACCTGTGCAACTTTCTAGGTATCTACATTAAAAAAGTGATCTGAAGCATTGCAAGGATCTAGTCCTATAAGGTGACAAATGAGAGGCAGCTGGTACTGATTTCTAAAGAGGAGCACAGCACGTCTATAACTTCCCTGAATGGGAAGATAAAAAGCAGAGCCATGAGCTCACAGAATCACAGGGTTGAAAAGTACCTTAAGATCGTTTAGTTCTAACCCCCCTTTCAAAACTGGACAGGAATTTAAGGAACAAACACCAGCTAAATTCTGGGGTGTTTATTCATCTTACTCAGGAAGTACGTAGCTGCCTCCTTGAACTTCAAGCTGAATTTAAGAATCATCTCTGAAAAGTAGATCTTGTCAATCTCACTGGATATAACTAGAAGCATAGGTGTGTTGCAAGATTACTCCAGAGAAGAATAATTGAAGCCTCTTGACTGCCAGAGATAATGAAAAGAACCTACTGCCTGGCAGTCCAGGAACAGAAATGCATCCAAAAGGACTGATTGTTTCAGCAAAGAGCTGGCATATAACATCGACTAATAGGGTAGACTTACCTTTTTTTCATTCCTCAACAGTTCTCATGGCAAAGCATTACTTCCATCTTACTCAGATCTGCAAGTTAACGGGCACATGTACGCTGGAAGTCCAGTTTGGTCTTGCTAAATGTGAAGGATTATCTTCTGTTCATCTCAATGGGTTTCACTTTTTGTGAAATGATAGCTCATGAACAGAATGGGAAAGGGACATAGCTGAGTATTAATTTTAATGGTCACACAGTACAGAACATCCTAGACATTCCCTTTCAGTGAGGGGATTGCACACTGCTTGATGAGCCTTAAGTAGTGCTTGATGAACTATTATACCTCACTGCCATTTTATATCTTCAAGTAGTTTCTAGTGAAAGCATGGAACTTCTGAAAGCCATTTTGCCACAGTATTAATGATAGTAAAATCTGTGCCAATGTGAGGAAGGTTTGCTGAATGCTACACAGTTGTGTGGTTTAATTTTTTTCAATTATTTCAATATTTTCAGTGTTTTCTGGGGTGGGGGGAATTTTTTCTCCTAGTGCTTTCATTAGGCCCTACCTTAAGTGAGGAACCATGGGGAAGACAATTTTTCTGTTCCAGCATGGTTTTCAAAACCTTTTGGGGCCCTCCCAAAAATTAGCTTAGTGATCTTCTGTGTGATAAATGTGCAAGCTTTTTCCATTAAAAAAATCCAGTTATTGTAAATTATTGGTATGTGAACAGCATCATACAGCAGCAGACCCCAGTTCACAGTGTGGCAGAGATGAAGCTGGAAGGGTGACTCAAGTCTCTTTTTAGGGATAAAAATGCTTTAAGGATTGCAGCACCTCATCTCAGGTTTTATAAATTACAAGTTATAATGCAGGCATATTACTTTCTCTTCTCACCCCCATGACTTTCGATAAGTGTTTGTAACAACTCAGAAAGGCAATGAGAATATAGAGAATGCTACATTTGAAAGAGCTACACATATTCACTGCAGCAAATCAGTCAAGTCTATAAATCATATTTTGATCAGCAGAATTAAGAGTAGATAATGTAGTAATGCTATCGCAGTAGCAGATCTCGCAAAAGCAAGATAAAAGTTTCCTAAGTATTACCACCATACACCACTTCATTATATTATTAGCACTGAGTGGAAGTGAGTAGGGGCAAGCACAGCAGTAACAAAACCACATGGGTGTCTCAGAGATGCCTGTTATTTTCCAGTATAAATTCAGGAATTCCCAGCGTAGCATTGGAACAGTGACTAGCCTTTTAGAATGTAATTGTAATGCCAATGCCTCCTTCAAGTAGACAGAGGACGAGAGTACATAATGAAACAAAAGTATGCATCAGTTTGAAGGGTATTGATCTGTCAGAGAAACAGTGCAGTGTGATTTCATTAGCCTATTTGGACCTAGATGTATCTGTCACACGGCACTCCATGACTTAACATCTAGCAATCCCATTGAAACTGATTTCCGCACTAGAACACAAACCAAAACAATATGATGAGATTCCTCTCCAAGTTGAAACATACACAGACACAGTTTTGTTTCTAATTTTGAGAAGTGACATTTATTTTGAGGGTCACAAAACCCACTGCTTACCACAGTTGACTTTATCTGTTGCATCCCTTGAGCAATAAATGACATTCAGGCCCAAATTCAAAACCACTTGCTTTAGCTGTCAGCTGTACCTTTTATACTTAACTAGTTCTTCAGCAGTCTTGGAAAGACCAATTTTAAACATTTGTTTCAGAGAAGCTAACATCTGAAACCAATACGGTGGAAAGAATAACCAATCTTAAAATATAAAAATAAAATTAAAAAGAGTAAAACAGCTTGAAACTTCTATGATAAGTGAAATACATAAAAATACAAATGTAAATTCCAAAGCCTTTAGATGGAATTTAGCTAATGACTTTTTTTTTAAATTACTTAAATTTCCAAGAACTGAACTGCTTTGAAACTAACCTTTACCTGGAACGAGAGAAATAAAAGGAGACACTCCTTCCTCTCCCAAGTAATAAAAAAAATCTATCCATAAATTTAGGTTAGAGATAAACATAGTTAAGATAGGTTCCATAGACTAAAGGGCTTCATAGACCATACAAAACAGCAGTGGGAAAAGGGAATCCTGGAGACCGTTAATCTTTACCAGAGACCTAATGTGGGTTCAGAAAGACGGGCAACCTCCAGCTGAATATAGTAAGAGATATCAAGGCCGGTAAGTCGAGGGGAAAGAAGCACTTACAACAGTGTGCAGTCACCTCGGGATGTCACAGCCCCAGGCACAGTAATACCCACCCCGCAAGGGCCACGCAGCAGCTCCTACCCGTTCTCCCTGCGGGGAAAGCCGGAGGCCGGGTGAAGGCAGCGGCGGTGCCCTCCCAGATGCGTGTCCTCACCGCACCCCGCCGGGCTCCGCTCACCGCTCCCTGGGCTAGCAGGGAGCAGGGTGAGGGTCAGGTGCATCCCCTCCCCTGAAGGCCGGCAGCGGAACCAGTGCAAGGGGTGAAAACAACCGAGCGGCTCCTCCGCAACCGGCCGACACCAGCCCCCGAGGAGCGGCGGTGAAAGCCCGGCAGAGCCTCGGTGAGGCCCTTTCCGGGCACCGCGGCCGCGCTCCCGCCGCTACAGACAGAGCCATAGCCAGGTGGGAAGCAGGGCCCCGCGCGGGGGTCCCCATCAGCGAACCCCGACGCTGCCCGACCCCACCCGCTCCGGGCAGCCGGGCCGGGGGAACCGCGGTCTCGTGCCCGAAGCGCCTTCCTACCCCTCTGTCCGGGCAAGGCGCCCCTTCAGCGCTATCCCCGCGGTGGCGTGGCGCTACACGGCCCGCCCAGCCCCCAGCGGCCGCAGCGGGGACCGCGGCACAGCGGAGCCGAACCCAGCGGCCTCCCCCCGCCGCGCCGGGCGGCTATTTTTAGTAAATCCTCCCCGCGTCGCCACGGGCTGCCGCGAACGCAGCGCGCAGCTCCTCGCCAGCTGCCGCCGCCCCGCCCTCCGCGCACGGCACACGCTCGCCCGCCGCCGGCGAGATGGCCAGCTAGTCCCCGAGGCAGCAGTAGCAGCAGGCGCCGCAACTTTCCCTCCCCGCTCCGATCCTGCCCCGCCGCGCCGGTGGAAGATGGCAGTTGGGGGAAGGATTGGAAGTTGCAGCCCGCGAGCGAAGAGATAAGGCGGAAGGAGGCGCAGGAAAGTGAGTGGCACCGGCCCCGAGTTCTGCCCGGTCCCCGGCCGTTGTCTGTGACCTGCTGGGGTGGGGTTTTGGGAGACCTTTGGAAGGGTTTGGGTAAGTTGGGCCGTGTCAGGGCGGGCAAGGTGGTGGTGTGGTGTGGTGTGGTGTGGGAACAGTCCCGTTCCCCCCCCCCCCCGGTAAGTTTCGCTTCGCAGGAGCGTGAGTGGAAAAGGAGTTTTCTGGGCGTCTGCTCCGCCTGCCTGGTGCGTGCCCGCCGTACTTGGCCCGGGAGCGGGGTTCCCTTGCCGTGTCCCCCTCCTGTGGGGTGCCGGGCCCCAGCTCCGGGCGGGCAGGGGCCGGTTGCTGGAGCCTCAGCGGGCAGGGAGAACGCTGGAAGCTCCCCAGGGTGCGCTGGGTAGCGGGAAGCAGGGGAGGGCGCCGGGGGAGCTGCCCCCCGTCGGGACCGAACGGGAGCAGGTGGGAACGGAGCGGTCGGCAGGGTGCTCGTCAGTCAGGCCCCGCCGCTGGGCTCATGTCGGAGCGGCCCGGAGCAGGCGGTGGCCGGAGGGCGGGCAGGATGCATGCCATCCCGGCAGTGGGGTAGCGTGGACAGAGTTCTGTGCAGCTGCACGTTCGGTATATGCATCCTGGCAGGGCAGGTTCCAGGGTAGCATGGCTGGGCATCGGACGGTTGGGTGGTTTCCAGCAAGGGTACGGTTGTTTTGACTCCCATAAAATGCCTGGATTTTGATCAGAAATGGAATATAATAGCAGGCAGTAGTCATCCATGCTTATCACTGTTACAGAGAGAAAAAAACAGGTATTACGTGTAATGCACAAAGCGTGTATTCATCTTTGATAGATTTAGCCTGAGCTCACGGCAGTTTGTGTTTCTAAGTGATCTGAAGGGGTCTAAACCCACTGTTAGGCTACATGAGGATTTAAGAGGGGATGAATATTTAAAAGCCTGAACAATGACAAGGAAATAGGAAAGTGAATTGTGGAGACCTATTGACATATGAAAATGCGTGAATGTGCTTTTCTGATGCAAAAGCTGTTGAGAATCTGTCAGAAACAGCGCAAAACAAGTGCTGAAACAGAAACTGAGGAATTTTAAACATATTTGTCTTTCAACATTGCCAGCTTTAGTTCCTTGATGCTTTGTTTTCTGTGACAGAATAGTTTTGTGACAGTTACTCAGGATTTAATTTGCAAGCTCACAAAGGCCTGTAAGCTCTGCTGAGAACTCATGAGCAAAAGGAAAGGTATTTCACATTAATGTTTTTCAAATACCCTTCCATATCTCCCTTCTCTCATCTCTTTTCCTCCATCCCCCCATAGCTCCTGAGCAGCTTTCCTAGTTCTACTGAAGATAATTAAAATTATCTTCTTATTGAATGTTTCTCAATTTTTTTTCTCATGTCTGATGCATTCCTGTATCAATGCCCTCTGCCTACATATGTTTTGTACCCAGAACGCCTGCTTTGTTGAGAGACAAATGCAGGCTTGTTCTCTGTCATAATACCGGAGCAGTCTTGGAAGGCACTTCCATCCCTTCATACATTTCAGTTGCATGGTTATTTGTATAAAATAAATATCTCAATGATATATGACTTTCCACTGTCAATGATGCAAATAATACACTGTTTTAACTCCCGTTTTTCATTATGATGGCAGAGAGATGATCCAAAACATTGGGAAAAAACTTGCCATGGCCTCAGTGAAAACCTGAGATCAGTCATATTTACCTACCACTGGTCCTAGCTTCATACAAATATTGAAATAACTCCCTTTTGTGTGCAAATGTCATTGTCAGTTCAGAACTCTGAAAGCGAGAAAAACACTTGGTGACCTAGTTGGTACAAGTGCAGCACCAGAGTTAGTTAAGCCTACCTAGAACACTATTCTGGGTGTCAGATTCCTTTGTATTTTGGTATCAAAGTCTACGTGAATGTGTAAAACACCCAAATATTTTCAACCTGATGTTAAAATGGCAGTTTTGAAAAGAGTAGTGTTTGTTTTTCCATTAACCTGCTTTTCCACAAATGAAGAGCAATCTACAGGGTGCAATGGGAGCAGTATTTCGTAAGCTGTTGTGTATCTTCTGTTTACCACCATCTTCCTGTGCCCAGAGCAGATTAAAATGGAAAGTGAAATTGTGTCTTCGCTACTGAAAGTCCCAATACATGCTTCATTTGCTGCAGTTGTTCCTATTCAAATTTTCCTGGGAATAAAAGGCAATATTATGATTCAGTGGCATGTAACATTAAAAAGAGATTCAGTTATAAAAAATATGTACTTTCTAAAAATCATTTAAAGTGGAAAATAATTTTCATTTGTTCATCTCACTACCTGAGATAGTCCCATGGAAGTTGCTGTTAAAAATGTAATTTACATCCTGAAAATACTGATCAAATTCATGTTTACCCATCATGAAAATGATATGAATGCCAGTTTGAATTACCATGAATGCGGGGGGTCATAACTAGTTGGATTAGTTAGTTTCTTAGTATTCAACTAGTGCTTGGTAGGAGAAATATAGTTTTGAAGATACTTGAATCCTGTGTGTATGAACAACTATAACCAATGAAAAATTACAGAAATGTTGAGATGTTACCTGGTCACCTCCAAAACGGTAAATTAAGCATGTATTCACCAGACTGCGTGTACTGCTATTGTTTCATGTAATCAATATTCAGATTAGATAATTTAAAGCTACTTAAGGTATGTGTATACAAACTGCAATAGACAGTACTTCTGATTTACAGTGTAGTCATAGCTGAATCATAGCTGAGAGAGGTTACTGTATCTCAGGAGTGAGTGTTTTTTCCCTCTTATAGAAGGTGTTTGGAACAGATTTGCTGAGGGTTATATGCTATGTCCTGTATGCATCTTGTTTACGTGAAATTAGTTTTCCATAGGAATTTAAGTTAATGAGTACTTACCAGTTTTCCGGGTTCTTCTAGGGTGAATAAGAAACTTTTTTTCCTGTTGCTGCATTTAAGTAGGAAGGTACATAATGCATTTGCTGGTTTGAATTAAAGATAGCTCTCATGTAAAGACAGAACATTGGACTATTCCATGATGAAATCTGTTTGTCATGCTTCGGGCTTTCAGCAATGATTTCCAGAGAAGAAAGCTTTTTTTTTTCTTTTTTTTTTTTCCCAGAGAAAGTTGCATTACTGAATCACTTAAGTTTAAATTGTTTACTGAAACTGGTATGTGAGTAAGGCATATTAAAGCTAACATTACTTGATGAAATTATGTTTCATTTGCTCCTGGTTTTCAGTTTTTATGTTAGGATTCTCTTACATGACCAACTAATCTCTCTTATTTGATGTGACTTACTTGGAATGAATGCATTGTGAATGAGAGTGTATGTTGGGTAAGGCTGCACTAGTGTTGACCTTTACACAAATCCAGGTAGATGACATCAACTGCTCTACCCCTGTCCATCAGTTCCGTAGCCCCATCATAGAAGGCCACCAAATTGGTCAGGTAGGATTTCCCCTTAGTGAAGCCATGCTGGCTGTCACCAAGCACCTTGTTTTTCATGTGCCTTAGCATGCCTTCCAGGAGAATCTGCCCCAAGATTTTGCCAGGCACAGAGGTGAGACTGACTGGTCTGTAATTCCCTGGGTCATCCATTTTCCCCTTCTTGAAAATGGGGGTTATATTTCCCTTTTTCTGGTAGTTGGGAACTTCACCTGGCTGCCAGGATTTCTCAAATATGATGGCCAGCGGCTTAGCAGCTTCATTCACCAGCTCCTTCAGGACCCGTGGGTGGATCTCATCAGGACCCATGGACTTGTGCATGTTCAGATTCTTAAGATGGTCTCGAACCAGATCCTCTCCTACAGTGGGCCCAAGGTCTTCATTCTCAGAGTCCCTGCGGCTGCCTTCCAAGACTTGGGTGGTGCGGTCAGAGCCTTTGCCAGTGAAGACTGAGGCAAAGAAGTCATTCAGAACTTCAGCCTTCTCCAAATCCTGTGTAGCCAGTTCTCCCAAGAGCTTCCTCCCCAGGAACATAGGGGGCCTATGTTCTCCCTAGTCTGGTTTTTATTTGCTATGTACCTGTAGAATCCTTTCCTGTTATCCTTAATATCCCTAGCCAAATTTAATTCTAACTGGGCCTTAGCTTTCCTAACCTGGTCCCTAGCTTCCCGGACAGCATCCCTGTACTCTTCCCGTGCCACCTGTCCTTGCTTACACTTTTTATAAGCCTCTGTTTTCATTTGAATTTTCCTCATCAGCTCCTTATCCATCCAAGGAGGTCTCCTGGCCCTCCTGCTGCACTTCCTTCTAGTTGGGATGCAACACTCCTGAGCTTGTAGCAGGTGATCCTTGAATATCAACCAAGACTCTTGGGCCCCCCTGCCCTCTAGGGCTATATCCCATGGAACCTTACTAAGCAGGT